TATATATATATTCTGTTCTTGCTAAGTGACCAGTTAAACAGTCACTGCAGGTTTGTATGTAAAGAGCTGCTTTCTGTCCTGATGTATTGGCCTAATTATTTGTTTTACAGGGCCCATATGTTGCTATAGAATCTGAGGGGAGAAACAACCTGCCATCAATCACTTTGTGACTCCTTACTACATAGAAAATAAACTGATCCACTGTGGAGAAACACAGTCTTGTTGCATTTAAAGCATTCATAGCTGAGAACCATCATGTCTGATTAGACTCCATCCTCATTATGTGTCCTGATAAGTGTTAAAACAAGCATGTGGCTGCAAATTATCCATATGCTTGTTGCCAGGTTACAGGGTGAATAAAACAGAGTAAGGGGAAAATATGCAGAACTGATCAAATCAAGCCTGCTCAGAGCAAAAATGACTAGTTAATAGAAAACAGCAAAGGAAAAGGTATGCAGTGATGTCATATTGAGACAAAACAGCAAAGCTTTGTGGATTTATGGCTTTAACAGCTGTTAAGACTTTACTAAGCTGATTCCCTTTGGATTAAGAATGTTCAATATTAAGCTATTGTCTATTGCTTTCCCTCTGTATTGTACTCATTCATTCCTGGAAAAACAATCCAGCTGTATAACATAACTTCTTAGGGGCACAGCATACCTGGAACTGCACACATTATCTCTTTAGAAACYTTACAAGTAACTGAGTATTGCTCTGATGGTGGATAAACAAAAACCTTTTGACTTGGGTGCAATAAATAGAGAACTGCTAATGTGACAGTCTTGTTATCAAAACTGTCTAAATTAAGTGCTGTTACTCAGCACATGATAATTATAAATACACTCACTGCACCAGACATTATTCACACCTACTGACTGCTCTCAATGAACCACAGCAGAATAAATGAACCACCTTCTAAAGCAGTGATTCTCAACCAGGGGTATGTGTAAACCTTGGGGTATGCAGGCATATTACAGGGGGCATATGGAAACATTTCCCAGGACTAGGATATGTAGGTCTCAATGATTTCTGCTATGTGGAAAATGCAGATGGAATCGTGGAATTGACAATATAAAATGTAGAGTTTCATGGAACTTGCTCATTTGGATGAGTTTCTGATGTATTTTGGACGCTACTGTTTCCTGTACCTGCAGTTATCTGGTTTATTTATTTAATTCTTTATTCACTTTTAAGGCAACACATTCACATTTATGTTTAATGTAAGGTGAAAAGAATAAAATGCCTTAGAATTAAATGTTCAAGTTAAGGGAGTTAAAGAAATAATTTTCATTTAATAATCAGTTGTTGTACATTATAGTTTTGGAGAATCGTCGTTACGTTTGACTGAGGGGGTACTAGTGGTATAACAAAATGGCTCAGGGGTACACAAGTCTGAATAGGTTGGGAACCACCACTCTAAGCAGAGATGTGATGTAACTAAGTACTTATGATCTAAGGATGGAACCCAGGCTTAGTGTTTGACCCAAGGCCAGACAGTCTTGATCATGAAGCACATTGTAAAAATGGCAATCCCATCAATGACTGCCCAATCACTTGCCTTTGTACAACATGAAAGGCATTATTGAGGCTATGAATAGGCAGGCACATTGGTCAATATGAAAGGGAACTGGCAACAACATAAAAGGGGCCGAGGCGAGCACAAGTTACTAATCAACAGAACCGTAGCTCAAGACTGTAAGACCAGACACACAAACCTGTGTACCACCTGAACTGACTACAAGAAAGCCTATGACCTGATGCCACACAGGTGGATCCTGGAATACTCTACAACATCGACATGACACCAAGATCCTTCTTTGAAGACTTAATAGGAACATGAAGACTCTAGAGGTCAATTTAAAGCCCAAGTCAGCATCAACTGTGGAATATACCAAGGTCCCTACTCCTGTTCTGCACGAGCCAGAACCCCCTCAGACAGATCATGGCAAAGAGTGGTTYTGGATAATGGTTCCCAAGTGGAATAGTCATCAGTGAACTCTACATGGATAATTTCAATTATACCAAAAACAAGACATAGCCAGGATATACAGCAAAGACATTGTGATGTCATTCGGACTGGATAAATGTKATRTTCAAGAGAGGCAAGGMGATCACAACTGAAGGGGTTAAACTACCTGAAGACTACATGTTCAACAGCTTGGAATCCCAGACAAATGGCAAACATGATGAGGTCATGAAGAAGTCAACCATAACCACGTACCTGCAGAGAGTAAGACGGGTCCTGAAGAGTCAGCTAAGAGGTAAGAACTAAGTCTAAACTAGACAAATATTTTTGTGCATTCATTTCATTTTTGGTAGCAAAAAAAATCACAGCAGTAGAGTTTAATGTTGCTGTTAGTTTTTCATTAAAATGTTGCACCACTAGAGGGAGACACCAGCTCAGAGTCTGCAGTCTTTTCTGTAGGTTGATTGAACAGTTTTATTTATTAATGGTGCTATATTTTACATGTGCTTCTGATCTTTGTCTAAATACTCATTCATTTTGTATTAATACTGTTAAAGAGGCATGCTACTCTCTGGACAGGTCACCATTCCAACAAGGAAACTCACAAGACAGACAATAATATTAAACAATTATTGTGTTCAGACTGAATTCTGGACCTGTTAATTTTTTTTTTTTGATGGTCTAACCGGAATAGGTTGATCAAAAATTAGTTAAATGATAAGTAATTTGTCAATAATGTTTTCTCCATTATTTTGTTTTTCTAATATTTTTTGACTAAATATAGATAAATATAAAATGTGAAGTGAAAAAAATCAATTAAACACAAATCTGTGAAATATTCAATGTAATATTCAATTTTAAAATTTATTAGAACTGTTTTGTTTGTGTAATTAAATTGAACCAAATTGTTTGAATGTCTTAGTTTAGGTTGACATGACTAGCTGTGATTTGGTTCTGTATAAATACAGCTGAGCTGAATTAAATAAAATACACAAATACTGCAGCTAAGGATTAAAGTAGTATTTTTTCCAAATAAGGCTACTTAGATTTTTTAAAA